GTGGGCTGGCACGCTGCCACAATCCTCGGTCAACCGTGGCTAAGAGTCCCTCATCCTCCTCCTCCCCCCCTCCTCAATCCTTCATCACTCCTCCCTCCATCCTTCCCTCCTTCTCTCCCCCATCGCTCATCGCTCCTCGCTTGTCGCTCCTTTCTCCTGCCAACCTGCCACCTCCCTCCTCCTTCCTCGCTCCTCCACCCCATCCACCTTCATCATCACACCCAGACGATACGCATCTGTACATGTGTATGTATGCATGTATCATGTTCGTCGTCCTCATCAACACCAACATCACCAGCAAAATCATCAGCGACAGCAACGGCCACATCAACATCGGCATCATCATCATCATCATCATCATCATCATCATCATCATCATCATCATCATCATCTTCCTCCTCCTCTTCCCTACCCACATCGTCATCACCACCACAACCAACACTCTGCCCTCACCACCAGCATAACCACCGCCACCATCACCAGCAACACCATCTTTAGATCAGAAACATCATCATCAGCATCAGCATCAGCATCATCAAAATCATCGGCATCATCATCAGCATCAGAATCGGCATCATCGTGATCATCATCAGCAGCATCAGCATAATCATCCTCATCATCATCATCATCCCACTCCTCCTCCTTCTCCTCCTCCTCATTATCATCGTCATCATCATCATCATCATCATCGGCATCATCACTATCATCGTCTTCATCATCAGCAGCAACATCATCATCATTCATCATCCTCATCATCCTCATCATCATCATCATCATAAGCATCATTAGAATGAGAATCATCATCAGCAGCATCATCGTCACCATCAGCATCATCATCATCATCATCATCATCATCATCATCATCATCACCATCACCATCATCATTATCATCATCATCATCATCATCATCATCATCATCATCATCATCAGCATCGTCGTAATCGTCATCATCAGCAGCAGCCACAACACCATCTCCATCCCCAACCCGGTCCCCATGATCACCAACAGCAGCAGCACCAGCAGCAGCAACATCGGCATCATCATTAGCATCATCAGCATCATCATCATCAACAACATCATCATCAACAACATCATCACAAGCATCCTCATCATCATCAGCATCATCAGCATCATTCTCATCATATGAATCGGCATCATCAGCAGCAGCATAATCATCATCATCATCATCATCATCATCATCATCATCATCATCATCATCATCATCATCCTCGTCGTCGTCGTGATCATCATCATCATCAACAGCATCTACATCACCATTAGCATCGTCATCATAAGCATCAGCATCCTCATCACTAGCATCAATATCATCAGCAGCATCATCACCATCAGCATCGTCATCGTCATCATCGTCGTGATCAGCATCATCATCAGCATCTCCAGCATCATCATCGTCGACATAAGCATCATCATCAGCATCATCATCATCATCATCCTCATCATCATCATCAGTATCAGCATCATCACCAATATCGTCATCAACATAATCAGCACCATGATCAGCAGCATCATCGGCAGCATCAGCAGCACCCTAATCAGTATAAGCATCATCAGCATCATCAGAACCATCAGCAGCATCAGCAGCAGCATCATCATCAGCAGCATCAGCATCATCACGATCGTCATCACCCTCATCATCATCATCATCATCATCAGCATCATCATCATCATCATCATAATCATCATAAGCATCATATGCATCATTATAATGAGAATCATCATCAGCAGCATCATCGTCACCGTCATCATCATCATCATCATCATCATCAGCATCGTCGTAATCATCATCATCAGCAGCAGCCACAGCACCATCTCCATCCCCAACCCGGTCCCCATGATCACCATCAGCAGCAGCACCAGCAGCAGCAACATCGGCATCATCGTTAGCATCATCATCATCATCATCATCATCATCATCAACAACATCATCATCAACAACATCATCAGCAGCATCCTCATCATCATCAGCATCATCAGCATCATTCTCATCATATAAATCGGCATCATCAGCAGCAGCATAATCATCACCATCATCATCATCATCATCATCATCATCATCATCCTCGTCGTCGTGATCATCATCAACAGCATCTACATCACCATTAGCATCGTCATCATAAGCATCAGCATCCTCATCACTAGCATCAATACCATCAGCAGCATCATCACCATCAGCATCGTCATCGTCATCATCGTCGTAATCAGCATCATCAGCATCTTCAGCATCATCGTCGACATCAGCATCATCAGTATCATCATGTTCATCAGCATCATCATCATAAGCATCATCATCATCAGTATCAGCATCATCGCCAAGATCGTCATCAACAAAATCAGCAGCATCATCAGCAGCATCATCGGAAGCATCAGCAGCACCCTAATCAGTATAAGCATCATCAGCATCATCAGCATCATCAGCAGCAGCATCCGCATCAGCATCATCACGATCGTCATCATCACCCCCAGCATCATCATCAGCATCAAAGTCATCGTCGTCACACATATTCACCTTCTCCCTCCCACCCCTGCCATTAAAAGTAAGCATTCGATGAGGGTGTTCCCATAGATGGATGCATGTGATAGCGTGTTCCTCTGTGAGTGTTTAAGCGCTGGCGAGCCTGACGAGGAGTAAGACCGGATGCGAGTGAGTCCGAGTGCGAGCGCCGAGCGCTGCTTCCTGGTGTCCTCTGCTACTCGCCCCTGCTCGCTGCTGCTCTCCGCCGTGCTTTGCTGCTCTCTGACGGTATCCTTCAAGCTTCCCTCCTCCTCCTCCAACTCCTCCTCCTCCAACTCCTCCTGCTCCTCCTCCTCCTCCTTCTCCTCCTCCTCCCCGTCCTCCTCCTCCTATTCGTCCTCCTCCCGCTCCTCCTCCTCCCCCCCTCCTCCTCCTGATCCCCCAGCTCGCGGCGATCGTCTGGCTGTGAAGAGAAAGACGCGGCCACCCCCCTCCACACCCCACACCCACATCCCACCCAATTTTTACTTTTACGATTACCCCCGAACCCCCACCTAGCCGGCCGATAGCAACCCCGCCATCCAAATTGTCAAAAACAACTCAAACTCAACTTGTTCCTCGCCAGCATGTCGTCGAATTGCGGAAAGTGTACCACGAATGTGACGGAATGAACATCGCTGGGGGGGCCCTAAGTGGGTGGTCGCGTCCTACCGATCAGGAAAAACAGCACTAAGTCAACGTTTTACTCGACAACTTGGATTCGTCGTCGACGGTGCGAAAAGTGTAGCAGGAATTAAACGCGGCGCAGCACACCACACGCGGACTAACCCTACGCGGGACCCCCCGTCCTACCTGGCGAAAAACACCGCAACGTCGACGCTTTCCTTGCCAACTTGTATTTTCTCCTCGTCGGTGCTGCGAATCGCGTAGCGGGACTGGGACGCGGCGCACATCGCGCGGGGACGCCTGCTCGTCAACATGGACTTTCTTGTCGTCGACGCTGCGGCCCGTCGGGTTGAGGAGCTGGGCGGGCGGCAAATCATAATGCTTCAAGCAAGTGCGGTTCGCCGCCGGCGCGCCCGTTGTCGTGTCCATGTAAAAGAGACCTCTCTGCCTCCCCTCCTCCTCCGCCTCCTCCTCCCCGTCCTCCATGCGCGGCAGGAGCGAAACGATTGGCGGTGCAACGCGCGTGGCTGGAATGAGACGCGGCGCACTTCGCGCGCTGGACATGTTGTCGCCGACGATGCAACATGAGAGGCCAGAGCGGGGCGCGGCGTACATCGCGCGCGTCCTTGTTTCTCGTCGACGTTGCTCAATGCGCGGCAGGAATAGGACGCAGCTCATGTCGCGCGCTGAACGTCTAGCCGCCCACGATATAAGATGAGCGACAGGCGTCGGACGCGACGTACTTGCTTCTTATGTTGTGGGAGGGCGGGAGGGAGTGGACGGAGCCCTCTGGCTCGTTCGAGCTGGCTAACTGGACCCCACCCCACCACACCCCGTCCAACCCGCCGACGAAACAGAACTGAAATTCTGCCTGAGAAGGCTCGACGTTCCGAGCACGGACGGGCCCGCGGAAAGCCGGTGGCCGACACAACTCCGGGCGGTCCACGTGCCCTGCCTGCTGCACTTGCGCATTGGGACTCGGAGAATGAGTTGGTCTGCGCTCGAGGGGTCTGAGTATGCATGAATCTGGGCACAAGGAGTCTGAGCGTGAGTGACTCTGAGCATGAGCGGTCAGAGCAGGAGCGACCTTGAGCGCGAGCGAGTGTGAACGTGAGTGAGTCGGAGTACGAGTAATGTGTGCATGAGCGGATTCCGATATGTGGGGAAATGTGAGTGAGTCTGGCTGTGAGTGCGTCTGTGTGTGAGTGGGTATGAGTATGAGTGGGTCTGAGTGTGGCTGAGTCTGAGTATGAGTGGCTACGATCCGAGCGGGTCTGAGTTGAGGGGTCAGAGTATGGGCGAGTCTGAGAACGAGTGAGCCTGCATGTCAGTCTGCGCGCGAGTGAGTCTGAGCATGAGGCGGATGAATGAGGTGAAAGAGGCGGGGGCGTGACACGAATAACAAGCACCCCAGCCTTGGGATGCCGGGGGAAACGCGCGACGCATCGAGGAGCAACTACATCGAGGAGCACACACACACACACACACACACACACACACACACACGCATCGAGGGGGCAAGGCATACAACACCACCATGCCTTCACGAGCCAACCCTGGGCACAAATCGTGGTGCACATCGGCGCCATGGTCAGGCTGGGACACCTCCGTGCACCAAGATAGGCAACCGAGAGTGAACACTACCCCTGCAGATAAGACGTCTAAGAAACCAGCTGGGGCTCAGAATTGTGAAGGATGGCCGCAGCCAGGTGAACACCAGCGGTGATGTCCGATGCCACATCGGCGATTGGACCCGCAGGGGTAAGGCTCGCAGGGAATCGCGAAGAGGTCTGGCCCATAGAAGCCCGTGAGGGGTCGGCGGTGGCGAAACGCAGAGCGACATTGAACAGCCGGTCCGCTCCTCGACCTGGCAGGCGTCGCCCTCGTCGTCAGCAGCGGAAGACCTCGTACGTGCCGCCTTTGTGCTGGCGCCCGCATAGTCGTCCTGGTCGAAGCCCGCCGCATCGAGGTCCGCAGACGAGGTCCTCGAGCTGCCAATCCTCGATGATCTGCAGTTTAGGCCTGTCGTAAGGTAACTCCTCCCCCCCCCTCCATCGCTTCCTCCTCCCTCCTCCTCCTCCTCCTCCTCCTCCTCTCCTCCTCCTCCTCCTCCTCCTCCTCCTCCTCCTCCTCCTCTCCTCCTCCTCTCCTCCTCCTCCTCCCCTCCTCCTCCTCCTCCCCCCCTCCTCCTCCTCCTCCTCCTCCTCCTCCTCCTCCTCCTCCTCCTCCTCCTCCTCCTCCTCCTCCACCTTCTCCTCCTCCCCGTCCTCCGCCTCCTCCTCCTCCTCCTCTGCCGCGGCACTGGCGCCCGCCAAGTTTCAGGCAAGTGGACACCAGGGCTGGGCGCGGACTGGCTCCGCGCATCTGAAGGAAAGCGATTCTCACAACCGCCAACACCACCACCATCATCACCACCACCACCACCACCGCCACCACCACCACCACCACCACTATCATCATCATCATCATCCATCCATCATCATACATCATCAGCATCATCATCATCATCATCATCATCATCATCATCATCATCATCATCATCATCATCATCATCATCTCAGCATCATCATCATCATCATCATCATCATCATCATCATCATGCATCATCATCATCATCATCACATCATCATCATCATCATCATCATCATCATCAGCATCATCATCCATCATATCATCATCATCATCATCGATCATCATCATCATCATCATCATCATCATCATCATCTCATCATCATCATCATCATCATCATCATCATCATCATCATCATCATCATCATCATCATCATCATCATCATCATCATCATCATCATCATCATCATCATCATCATCATCATCATCATCATCATCACATCATAACATTCATCATCATCATCATCATCCATCATCATCATCATCATCATCATCATCATCATCATCATCATCATCATATCATCATCATCATCATCATCATCATCATCATCATCATCATCAATCATCATCATCATCATCATCATCATCATCTCATCATCATCATCATATCATCATCATCATCATCATCATCATCATCATCATCATCATCATCATCATCATCATCATCATCATCATCATCATCATCATCAGCATCATCATCATCATCATCGTCATCATCATCATCAACATCATCATCATCATCAACATCATCATCATCATTCATCATCATCATCGTCGTCGTCGTCGTCATCATCATCATCATCATGATCAGCATCAGCAGCATCATCATCAGCATCATCATCATCATCATCATCATCCTCATCATCATCATCATCATTTTCAGCATCATCATCATCATCTTCATCATAATCATCATCAACAACAACGGCATCATCATGAAGCAACAACAACACCATCACCGTCAGCATCATCGACAACAGCATCATCAGTATCATCATCAGCATCATCACCATCATGATTATCAAAAATTACCATCACCATCATCATCACCATCACTATCACCATCATCATCATCATCAGCAGCAGCACCGGCATCACCATAATCATCATCAGCAGCAGCAGCAGCATCATCATCATCATCATCACCATCACCATCCGCAGCAGTAGCATCAGCAGCAACACCATCAAAATCAATTACTCCGACGGAAGAACCCCACATAAGAATCCTCTGGGCGAATCTGGAAAAAACCATCACCGTCGTCCTCGTGGTTGGTGAGGCGTCCTGGCTGTCTCTTCTGCGTATATTTCCTCTCGCCTTGGCGCGGGCCCCCCTTCCACTCCTTACGTTGTCCCCATCCTCGCCCCCCTGTTTGTTCCGCGCCCCGCCACCTCCTCCCCTTCCTGTTGCATGAGCGCGCATGTCGATGTTCCTCGGCGCCGTCGCCGCCACGGCCAGCACAGGCGCGTTCTCTACAGGTCACGTCGCGCAGCCGTTGGGACAACCCCGCGGGCCAGGCTGTCGGGACAACCCCGCGAGCCGTTGGCGCGCAAGACCAAGCCGTTGGGACAACCCCGCGGGCTTCGAGCGAGGCGCAGCCGCGCTCAGGCGGAAGGCAGCACGAAGCCCAGCTCTGCCGCGAGCTGCTTCGCCTCCGCCCTGGACAAAACCGTTCTCTTGTCGAACTCCAGGAGCGCCTTCCGCAGGGACGCCGGCGGCCCGCACTCCAGGAACTCTCGCGGCGGCGGCCGCAGGATCAGCATGTTCCGCATGCACGTGGCGCGGGAGAACATGACGTAGAGGTGCAGCCACCACTGCTCGTCCGACATGCCCGTGCGGCCAGCGTCCTCGTCTCTCGCGCAGTCGATGGTGACGCCCTTGCGCAGCGTCTGGCCCTGCGACAGCGTGGAGGTCAGGTAGGACGCGTGCGTCAGGGTGAACCCCGAGCGGCGCACGCTGTGCGCCCCCGAGCTCTGCCATGTGAACTCCCTTTCGCTGGGCCTGAACATCAGCAAGCTCCGCGCCCGCGCCTCGGCCTGGCCGTCGTCGTCGGCGCCTTCGGCGCCCTGTCGCAGCACCTCGGCGACCTGAGGAGCCCAAAAACTTCCTTGTTGCATCCAAAGTGTGGCCTGGGAACTGCGTTCTGGCAGCGCGAGAACCCAACATTGACGACAGTTACAGGTTTTGGATGACCTGCTCGGATTACCAACATGATCTGCGGGCCCCATAGGGAGGGGGCTCCCGCCTGAGACTTCCTCGCAGTTCACTCACAGACGAGGCTCCCGCCTGAGACTTCCTCCATATTCAGGCTTGAGGAGCCCAAAAGTGACGACAGTTACAGGGTTCCGATGACCCGCTCGGATTACCAACATGATCTGCGGGCCCCATAGGGAGGGGGCTCCCGCCTGAGACTTCTTCACAATTCACTCAAAGACGAGGCTCCCGCCAGAGACTTCCTCCAAATTCAGGCTTGACGAGCCCAAAAGTGACGACAGTTACAGGGTTCCGATGACCCGCTCGGATTACCAACATGATCTGCGGGCCCCATAGGGAGGGGGCTCCCGCCTGAGACTTCCTCGCAGTTCACTCACAGACGAGGCTCCCGCCTGAGACTTCCTCCATGTTCAGGCTTGAGGAGCCCAAAAGTGACGACAGTTACAGGGTTCCGATGACCCGCTCGGATTACCAACATGAAGGGGGCTCCCGCCTGAGACTTCTTCACAATTCACTCAAAGACGAGGCTCCCGCCAGAGACTTCCTCCAAATTCAGGCTTGACGAGCCCAAAAGTGACGACAGTTACAGGGTTCCGATGACCCGCTCGGATTACCAACATGATCTGCGGGCCCCATAGGGAGGGGGCTCCCGCTTGAGCCTTCCTCAGAATTCACTCACAGACGAGGCTCCCGCCTGAGACTTCCTCCATATTCAGGCTTGAGGAGCCCAAAAGTGACGACAGTTACAGGGTTCCGATGACCCGCTCGGATTACCAACATGATCTGCGGGCCCCATAGGGAGGGGGCTCCCGCCTGAGACTTCCTCACACTTTACTCAACGATGATGAGGATGAGGATGATGAGTGGTGGTGAAGATGAGTGGTGAAGAGGATGATGATTGATTGTGGGTGGTGGTGGCGATGATGATGTTTGAATGAGGATGATGCCGATACCGATGATGACGATGATGTTCGTGAGCGTGTGAGAGAGTGCGAGTGATGATGATGTGTGTGTGAATGAGTGCGAGGAGAAGAGGGGGTGAGTGTTCCTGCGCGGGGTGTCCAGAGAAAACAAGAACCCCACTTTGGATGTGGGGAAAAATATGCATCCTCATTTCCATCCGCATCCTCCCTTTCATCACTACCATCACCAGCACCATCATCATCCTCATCGTCACCGTCGTCATCGTCATCGCTCCGACCATCATCAACATCACAATCCTCATCAGCATCATCATCGTCATCGTCGTCATGCCGTCGCCCCTCTTACTCCTCCCTTCCACCTCCCGTCCCAGTCAGCCCCTTTGATCCTCAATCAGAAAGGCTTGCACTGAAGCGATTATAACACATGTTGTAAGCATTAGCTGAAAATCTACCCCAGTTCGGGAGGCGGCCGGGTTTGTCCCTGCGTTCGAAGTTCGGAGGGCAACGTTCCAGTGGACCAGCTCAATGGGGGGAAACGTCGACCTGGAATCGGCGATGAATCGCCGACAGAACGGTGATAGGTTGCACACCGACTTCAATGGGCGGCAGGGTTCCTGGGCCCCCAGATCGGACTGTACATAGAAAGAGAGCGTAGATGAAGTAAACGTATTCTAAAGAATAGCGAGTGTACAAAGTAGAAAGAAAGGACGAGTATGGATTAGAGAGCAGAAAGCACGTAGCATCTATCATTAGTGGTGACATTAACGCTCCAAGTGGCTGCATGACGATCCACCTGTCCTGCCCGCCTCGGTAACCTGAGGCGGCAAGACCGACGCACCTTGGCAGAACGGTCCCGCAAAAGAACAGAGAGCCGAGCACACTGACACGCAGCATCTAGTAGAAGCAAAGGTGCAGAGAGGACAAAACGGACAGCATAGAATAGAGAGGACATGGTAGAGACGAGAGATTAGCAAATATAATGTAAAGACTGGGAAATGGAGAAACCAAAGCGGAGGGTACAGGTCAGATTCAGAGCGGAAGGTACAGAATTAAAAAAAGAGAATATACCTGCTGCCAAAATGTTGCACCAAACCCGCCCACCCGCTCTATCATGAAGCACTCCTCCTTGCTAACCCTTCGCGTCATAGACGTGGTCCGTTGCACCGGAGGCCATGCATGAGATGTGGCACGTGTCTGGTCAAATTTGCAACCTGTGCACACAATCCAGAAGGCATGCAAATCGATAAAATCACGCGCGCAGATTGATAATGGCGCTGATGCAAAGTGGCGCGCGCGTTGCCCACTTGGCACTCCCTGCTCGGGACAGTGCCAGTCTGGCGCGCGCGCGCAAGCCCCTTCGTTATAGAGTTTGGCATGGACGGGGCCCGTTCAGGATCGGAATTGAAAAAGGAACGTGTGCGTTCTTTCGGATATATCAAGCGCTCGCACAAATCGATCCAGCATAAGCCTCACACGGT